ATTTCTTGCTTCTGCCACAAATTCCCCCAGCTGTGAGCCTTCCAACCTTCTAAGTATTCCTTTATATATGGTTCAGAGTTCTGGGACCATCCCCTGAGCCTGCTCGGTCAGGTATTTTGTGTTGTTGTTGGCGGAGCTCTCTGCTACACATCCACCCGATCTGCCATCTTGTTTGTTCTCCCTCAGAGGTGTTACTTTAAAGTCCAAGTGGGAAAGCCTGTGTTGAGGATCACAGACCTAGACTGATGACATGCCTGTGCCTATTATATGCCAGGGGCACATCAGTCTTGTTTAAACCACTATGTTGTTGTTAAGTGCCTTTGAGTCCATTCTGTCTCATTGTGACCCTGTACAGGGTTTCCAAGGAACAGCTGGTGATCCTGAACTACCGACCTTAAAGTTCAAACCGACCTTGCAGTCCAGTGTATTAACCCACAGCACCAGGACTCACTACAGCTTAACCTATAGCCCAAGAACTATCATTCTGGAATATGTTTTCCTGCTTAAGATTAAACATGATTTATAAAGAGTTATAAAAGAAAAATAAAGAGTCAATGTTGACCAGAGCAGACCTGATCTCAATCCTGGCCAACTCCTCCCCAATCTTTGTCCTAGAATTGTCCTACGTGGGGAGCTTCTTAGAGTTTCTGGGGGATAATTGGATGTGGACTTCCTTTCTTTCTCTGCTCATGGTGACACTCTGGTTTGCTCAACAGCTTGGTTCAATCAACAACAGTGAGCCCAAGGGAGGGAGGCAAAGTATTCCTACTTTTTTCAGATTCCTAAGAAATGGATGTATTGTTTCAGCCCTTAGGCAAAACATCTGGAGAAAATGTTTTATTTGGGACAAGTAGGGAAATTCTAGTTAAGATCATATAAATCTGTTTTTCTTTTCACTGTGCAACTGTCTCCCAGATGCCTGTTGCTCATCTACCTCTTGGTTGGATGAAAGGCCAAAAGAAAACCTTGTCCCTCTTTATCCATAGAGAAATGAAGGAGCTTTTTCCTTCTTCTACTGGTATTTCCTTTTCTCTTCATCATCTCTGGGATCATAGACAAGATAATCCACGACTACCTAAACTGGCATAGTTTACTGAATCTCTCTTAAATTGTGAAGAGAAAGGTATGTGTGATACACTGAAGTCATACAGCTGGAGAAAGACACCCGTGTGCCCTCAGCTTAGCCACAGTTCACTTGTGTCCTTTAAACTCCTTGGTGAAACGTCCCCTAAATTCCTCTCTACTCAGTCTCCCCCTGACTGGTGACTAAGGGAAAGAAAAAGTTTCTGGTGGGAAAGGTCTCTATAGATCTTTAAGGAGTTAGTATGATTTGTGGTTATCCTCCCTCCCCTGACACTCACTTCCAGCTCTTCATTCTGTCTTTGTAAATCTTCCAGAATGATCTGCAGCTCCTCTTCATCTTCACTCTCACTCTCACTCTCAGAGGAATACTCTTCAGTTTCACTTCGACCATGTTGCTGTCGACTAAAAGGGCAAGAGATCCATAAAGACTTTACAAACAGCAGCAAGAGGTACAAGTGTGTACAAAGTATCACCACCCTTTTAGACTGATCTGGTTTTCAGGAGACATTATAACACCCTTAAGACTATAAATAGAATGTTTAGAGATGATTAATTTCAAAGACCAATTATTTATATTAAAGCCTAAAAGTTGAAAATTTATGCTTATACCAAAAGCAAACATTCCTGGAAACTTCAGAACCTTTGGCTTTTCTTTACCTCTGAATTTCAGCAATCTCAGCTCTAAGGCGTTCTATCTCTTCTTTCTCTGAGGCAATCTGCCGGCGCAGAAACTGCTCCATGGCTAGAAGCTCTTCCTGTTCAGTCAGGATCTCGTTCTCCTAAAATAATGATTGCTGGTGAACATCTTTGATTTTTTCATCTAGAAAACGCCACTTCTTTTTAGTCTCTTATGTTACTGTGAACTTTTTAACCCTGTTACTTGTTTGATGACACATATTATTGAAAGCTTACTGTATCACATAACTGAACAATAGCCTGTTTCCTGAGGGTGAAGAAAGAGATTTCTGTGAGAAAAGGTAAGATATTGGGGTGTATGAGTAGACATAAAACATAAAATGCTACATGGAATCCAGGTGTCCTTGTGCTGCAAAGGATCTCTATGAGGCTAGCACATTGGGAACAAAGTCAGTTTTAACACAAGGCTAAATTTTTTTTAGCTTTCCAGTCCTTCCTTAATTGGTTCCCATGTCATAAACTTATTTTAGGGCCAAAGTGGACTTTGGTATTTCACTTGGAAAGATAGGGTCCAGGAGACATGCAGCTAATCGCAGCAATATCTTTCAAAGTGGATCTGAGGGATGGAAACGCAAGTTGTGTCTCCAGAGATAATATTAAAACAGCAAATATTCTCCTCTTACAGAATAACCATGTCTAAACTGATTAAGTCACCAGTTTTATGAAAGTAATGGAAAAAATAACTATCTGCCAAAGATCTAGCTACAGCTAACCTCCCCCTTCAACCTAGGGAAGGGAAACAAAGCAGATACAAATAAGATTAAAAAGAAATTGGAAGGCTGTGAAGATGACAAGTTGGCTACAGACAAACAGCCAAAGAGCATTTCTTCTCAAACTGACAGGTATTGAGAGGGTAACTATTTGCAGTCAAGCTTGAAAGACACTATATGCATTGGGAGTCTTTCTTGGAGATGTTAATAGGCAATATTTCCCAAGTGTTTTTTAACACAGGGATTTTTTCTTTTCCTTCATGTATCTATTAAAGCTAATATTCTGAAAAATATCAGGTTGAAAGCCCTAAAGTGAAGACACAGTTAGTCATTTGCTCTCCTCAGAAGGGAAGTATTAATGTGACTGCTCGACAAAACAATGTATTTTTCAGAAGTAAGAGAGAAGGTTCTTAAACTTGTAGGGTTTTAGTACCCTACATAAATGAGTTTCTAAAAGCTTACGAAAATCATGCTGCAGAGCCTTAAACTTTGAAGAGATCCAGAACAGACTTAGACTGACTTGAGAAATTCACAGAAATAAATGAGCTCATCTTCAATTCTATGCCTCAACAGATAGTTGTTGAATTATTGTTGTTAAGTGCTATAGTGTCGGTTTCAACCCATAGCAACCCTACATAGGATTCCCAAGGAGCAACTGGTAGGTTTGAACCACCAACTTTGCAGTTCAAACTGATCTTGAGGTCCAGAGCATTATCCTACAGCACCGCACCAAGACACCTTAAGTATTCATGTAAGTTACATATTCCTGACAATCCCAGAAATTAACGAAAACAAATTTGTGCTGACCAAGATAAGTGTATGTCAACCTTGAAAGGAAAACCTTTCTAAGTAACTTTAAGCTAGATATAATAAGAAATGTATTTTATTTAAAGAAAATAATTAACTTTTATTAACAAG